ATTTTTAATGAGATCGACCCCTGCAATGGATTTCTAATTAGCTTTTCTGCCTCCGCTCAATTTCCCACCCTACAAACAGGATCATCTTTCTAAAGACAAGTCCAGTGAATTCCTCCCCTGGGTTAGAACCCGCTATGCTCCTTCATGCCCTTAGGACAAAGCCAAACCTCTTCACTTGGTCCACAGGCCCTTTCAGGTCCAGGCTCTGTCTATCTCTTTCTTCGCCCCATCTCCAACATCACAGTGAAGCCAGTCCCTCACACATGCCCAGCCATCTCTGGGCTTCAGGCCTCTGTATACTCTTCCTCCTCCTTTTCACCTAGTTTTCCCAGATGGTCACTTCCTCCAAGAAGCCCTCCTTAATCACCTCTGGAGTATGTTAGGTGCCTCTACAATGCTCCCAAGGCACAACTTCCTCTGTCATGATGCTTATCATACATCCTGGCTTCTGGCTGTCTATTATTGCACAGCCTGTGGGGTCATTTGCTAGAGTTCTAACTCCAGCCCTGACACTTAGCTACTAAGCCCTAATAAATTTACTCAACTGCACTCGGCCTCAGTTTCCCCAGCTCTTGTGGATATTAATAGTACCTATCTCACAGGTTTGAGGTGAGGATGAAATGAGATCATGCATGTAAAGTGTGCAGCACAGTGACCTGGCACAGAATGAGAATTCAATAAATGCTGGCTATTATGCTAGCTGTCATAACCACTAAGGATAATGGCCATTACGGTTGTCTCCCCAGTATCCATTCTGTCCTTCCGCCATTGCATAGCAGTTATGCAGTTTGGGTAGAATAACCTGCACCACCAGCTCCACAGATGGGATCCCATTCATCCAAGAACAGTTCTCAAACTTCCACGTGCACTGGAATCACCTGGAGGGCTTGTTCATCACAGACGCCATTCCTAGAGTTTCTGATTCAGTTCTGATCCCAAGGATTTGCACTTTTGGTAAATTCCCAGGGGATGCTGATGCTGCTGGCCTGGAGACTCCACTTTGAGTAGTACTGGTCTAAGCCAATCAGAGTATCTTATTTCCTTTGCCTTATGATTGAGTCAGGGGTGGACACATGGATGTATGACGGTCCAATGACTGCAGGACAGCAGACTCTCCCTCCCTGAGTGTAAAGTAAGTTGCCACAAATACTGCTGGTAGCCCTCCTGCAACGATGCAAGATATTTGGCTCTTTTGAGCAAAAGAGAAGTCAACCCCAGGCTGGAAGTGATACAGAGAAGAGGGAAGGCCCAAAAGAACCCCAGAGAAATGAAGTAGAGTCCAGGCTGAATGGCGCTGTAACCCTTAGACCACTGGGCTTTTTAGTTCCCGGAGTTAACAAGTTCCTTTTATTGTGTAAGTCAATTTATGTTGAGTTTTCTGTTACTTGCAAACGAAATCTCAACTGACATTATCTGCTCTGCGGGGGTGAGATTTGTCCCCCTAATATTCCATGCTGGGCCTGAGCCTGGCACAAAGCAGGTGCTCAATAAACATGTGTCAATCCATGCAAGGACGTCCACTCTCTTCTCACAGAGGACCCAGGATAATCTTAACCGGGTGGCTAGAAAGCAGTCCTGGGCCTACTTCTGCCTGCTGTCTGTCCTGCTATCCCTCTTCTGAGCGTCCCGCTCCACCTCCCCTGGGCTGTAGGATGCTGGCTCGTTTCAGGTTCTGATCACCACCACTACTGCCTTGCAAATGCTCTCATTCTGCTTTTAGTAATGAGTCTTGATCATCTGATTTCCACGGCAATTTTGCTTTCCTCCAAAAGGTTTGCAGAATAAGGTGCCTGCTTTAATCACCAATGGATGGGTGCGTGATGCGTTTTGTAATACAGTTGTCCCTCATAACCATGGGGGCCTGGTTCCAGGATGCCCCGCAGATACCAAAATTCACGGATGCTCAAGTTCCTTAGTCCTCCCCTCTTATCCACGGGTTCCAGATCTCCGGATTCAACCAACCACAGTACTGTTTTACCATACACGGTTGATTGAATCCACAATTGCGCAACCCCTGGATACAGAGGGCCCCGATTGTCCTTAGTCTCTCACCTCAACTCACCTCACCTGGGCACTCACTTTCTCGGAGCTCTCTATTACATTTATTTTTTCTGCCGTACCCAGCTTTCTGTGCATGGTGGTGGTGGCCCCAGCAGTTAAAACTCGCTTCAGTGGGAAGTTCCCTGTATCAGTTCCTAAGGCTGCCAGAACAAGTTACCCCAAACTTGGTGACTTAAAGCAACAGAAATTTATTCCCTCACAGCTCTGGAGGCTACAAGTCTGAAATCAAGGTGTCAGCAGGGCTCTGCTCCCTCTGAAGCATCTAGAGGAGAATCCTTCCTTGCCTCTTCCAGCTTCTGGTGTCCCCAGGCGTTTCTTGGGTTGTGGCAGCATAATCCCGGTCTCTGCCTACCTCAGTCTTCACGTGGCTGTCTACTCTGTGTGTCTCTTATAAGGACACTCTCTTTGGATTTAGGGCCCACCCTAACCCAGTGTGATCTCATCTCTATCTTTACCTGACTATATCCACAAAGACTCTATTTCCAAATAAGGTCACATTCTGAAGTTGCGGGTAGCCCTGAATTTCAGGGGACCTTATTTAACCACATCCCTGTAGATCAGGGGCCTTGCTAAAACACATCCCGCATTGCCCCAGCAACACCATTAGACACTGCCTGGCAGCCCCTGCAGGGCTCTGAGCCTGGCTGTTCAATGACACTGAGCCACAAATACATACCTCAGCCGCCCCTCAAAATACCTATCTTTTCCTTCAGACTCACATATTCCAGCTTCTACACATCAGCAAGCACAGTGCCATATCCTCTTTGCCCCTATGCTCAAATCGTAGAAGGGCAGAGCAGGCAGGACCTTTGGAGATGCTGTGAAGCACTTTTATTTTACTGTAACCAGCCCCCACTTCAGCCCCGTGAGTGATGTCTTTTCATTCTTCTAGGCTTTACAGACCAGAATGTTCCAGGCAGAGAAGGCCTTCTCCAAGCTCCAGAATAGAGAGCGCATCTGACGTATTCCTTGTCTGCCCTTGTGGACAGTCCCTGCTTGGTGAGGCCAGTTGCATCTGGCTCTACCCCTTGAAACCTCAACGTGTCCCAGACGTCTGCCCACCTCCTGAGTTCTATCAGATTTGAGCACAGGTTTTCCTCTCTAACCATCTCCATCCAAGTCAGGCATGATTCCAGGTCATTGCAAGGTCCACCCTACGGCCTGGAGCAGCATTCCATCACCTTCTCCATGCCAGTTAAGTTCTCCTCCCTCCACTTTAACTTCAAGGTCCCATCTGTCATCTCTCATCCCCTCTAAACCTTAAACACCCACATCCCCAAGCACCAACTCAATTCCTTCAGGCTTTCTCACTCTTTCAGAAACACTACACTTGCATCAACTCCACTGTAGTCCCTCACCCATTTCATTTTCAGTCTCTTCCTGTTTTCAGTCTCTTCCCTCCCAGCCGCACCCCCATGGCCCATCACTTCAGCCACTCTCTTATCCTCAAGCCCCCTTACCACAGTGTTCATCTGCTGCAACGCTCAGCAAAATCTCAAATTTAGATCATCCAACTGTTGTCTTCTCAGCACCCCATCCAGAACTTCCAGATATCTCTATTAGGATGCCCCACAGATGCCTCAAACTCAGCATATCCAAACTGAGAGCATTCCTCCCCTGGTAATCCCAGCCATACCTAGTACCATTCTGGCTGTAATAGTAATAACGATGACAACAACATTCATACATATAACTATATATTTCTTGGATGCTACAACAAGTAGTGTAACCCTATTAATGGCATTGTCACCCTTGCAATAAGTCCTTTTCTGTAGATGAGGTGACTGAGGCTCAGAGAATTTGTGTAATTTATCCAGCCTCACTGTGAGTGACTCAAATGCAGACTCCTCTGTTCTCTACAAAAGGCCTCACTGGTGCCCTAAGCCACCTGAGAGTTGGTTTGATGCCTCCTCCTCCCTGTCTCCCACATCGCTGGGTCCTATTGCTTTACCTCATTCCTTCCTGCCCCCTTATCTGCCTCTCTCTCTCCATCCTCATAAGGCTCCTTGGTCTCATCATTAGCTCTTCTCCTCTGGAGCGCTGAAGGAACCTCTAGTCTAGATCTCTCCCAATCCACCTCCACCCTCTGTCCCAGGACACTTCCTAAAGCCTAAATCTGTGCAACAGGCTTCTTGGCAAAGGGGAGTCATGGTAGGGCCAGAGATCTTCCTAGAGCTCAAGGAGCTGCAACCCTTCAAGGCACACCGTCCCTGGATAATCCCCCATACACATGACTTATTTGTTATTAATCAATGAACTGACAAATACAGATGAAGAGGCTACAAAGGGTCCAGCAGAACCCAAGAGTAAAACAGAGGTCAAGACGCAGTTCCTATAAATTACCTGGAGAGCTTCTTAGCGATTCTGGTGCCTGGGCCTCAACCCCAGAGAATTCGATTCAGTGGAGAAGGGTCAGGGGATCCGCATTTCGAACAACACCCAGATGACCCTGTTGCAGGTGCTTCCTGAACCCACTTAGTGAAACAGTGACACCAAGAGTCACCTCCAAGAGGCAATTACGATGCAGGGAAACAGGCTGACACAGGGTCCTGTGGGAACCCAGAGAGGGGCTCTGAACTCAGAGTAAGCGTGTGGTAGGGATGGTGAGGGCGTCTAAGACTTCCTGGAGGAGCTGAGCCCTAGGGTGGCAGGTGGGGTGCGGTGGCTGCGTGCACAGCTGTGTCATGCACAGCTGTTCTCAGCGACAAGGGCCCTCTCCTTCCCACACACACCTCTTAGCGGGTAAGCTGGTCTTTGCTGAATCATACCTCTCGTTTGAGATTGCCTTTGATCTTCATTTGAACTCAATTTAACTGGTAAGCAAAGGTTGTGGGGCCCACACGGGGCCTATGACTGGTCAAAGCCAAGAAGGTAACAGCTTAGATTCTAACACTTGATTACCCAGAGGGATGGATGTTATGGAAAGAAAGTGGACTTACTATTCAGAAACTTGTTTTCTTGGCCCAGCTTGCCGTAATCAGCTGTGTTACTCTAGGCGGCTCATTTAACCTTTCTGAGGACAGGAAAGACATAAAACCAACAGGACCTGGTGATGAGAGAGAGACAGAGAGATAGAGAGACAAAGCTATTGAAAGAGAGAGACATCATCAGAACCTGGGACCTGGTTCCTTCATGTCACTAAAGGTCTAGAGGGCGGGGGAGTCCTTGTCCTTTTTTTCTCCATTATATCCCTAGGGAGCAACCATAATAGGGCCTCCAAAATAAAAAAAATGCATAAAAATAAAAACAGTAGGACTCGGGGGCTGGCCCCATGGTCTGGTGGTTAGGTCTGGCACACTCCACTTCAGCAGCATGGGTTTGGTTCTCGGGTGCAGACCTATACCACTCATTAGCGGCCATGCTGTGGCAGCACCCACATACAAAATATAGGAAGGCTGGCATAGATGTTAGCTCAGGGCAAATCCACCTAGAGCAAAAAGAGAAAGATTGGCAACAGATGTTAGCTCAGGATGAATCTTCCTCAGGAAAAAAAAAAAAAGTAAGACTCATGGTAAATTTTTCTCTCAATTCTCAGAATCAGGAAAAACTGCTTCTTTTTTTTATTTAAGATTGGCACCTGAGCTAACGTCAGTTGCCAATCTTCCTTTTTTTCTTTCTTCTTCTTCTCCTCGAAGCCCCCCAGTACATAGTTGTATATTCTAGTCGTAGGTCCTTCTGGTCGTGCTATGTGGGACACTGCCTCAGCATGGCCTGGAGCAGTGCTAAGTCCATGCCCAGGATTTGAATGGGCAAAACCCCAGGATGCCAAAGCGGAACACATGCAGTTACCATATCACCACAGGGCTGGCCCCAGGAAAAACTGTTTCTTAAGGGAAAAAAATGGACATGTTTCTATTTTCATGGATACTGCAAATCACGTGACCATGGTTAACTTTTATTTTCTTCATATCCCTCATCACAACCTGCAATTACCTTGCTTGTGTATTTATTTCTTTGTCATCCAACTGCTGTTGGACTTGCCCCCATGGTGCCCCAGCGCCTGCTCAGAGATGAGGAAAGAATGGTCCCCTTTGCCTCTCGCACCAGCTTCCAGGAGTCCAGCCAGCTCTGCTTCTCATCTACAGGCTGTGGGCCATCTTGATCTTGGCTTTAACTTTTCCTGTTCTTATTTTCCCTACTTATTATTCTTGTTGCATAGTCAATATTTTTGCAAGCCACCCTGAATCCCTTTCTGGAAGGAGAACAGGTACAAACAAGTATATTATTAATCATCAGCATTCTCTTTCAGAGACCTATTAACTCCTTCATTCAACTCATCCCTTTGTTAGTGTCTGTTACACACTGGTCACTCTTCTGGAGAGAGTGACAGGCACTAAACAAGTAAACAAAGAAAGAAAGTGGTTTCTGGGTATAATCAGTGCAAGGGAGGAAACGAGCAGGAAAACAGGAATGGATGGCAGCATCTATGTGGGAAAGTGCAGGGAAGGCCTCTCTGAGGAGGTGGCATTTAAACAGGACAAGGAGAGGTAGGGATGTTCATCCCAGATGAGTAGCACAGAGAAATAAGCTGGGTGGGTTTCACAGGAGGGACAGAAGGCCAGTGTGAGTGCGGGGAGGAGCAGGGTAGTGGAGAAGACAGAGGAGGCAGCAGCCAGGCCAGGCAAGAAGGGCCTCATGGGCTAGGAGTGTAGATTTTGACCTCAGTGCAATGGGAAAGCCCCATTTGAACCTGGAAATGACAGGTTCTGTTTTTAAAAGATTACATCCATTCTGTAGAATACTATTTAGCAATAAAAAGGAGCAAACTATTCATACACACAACAACTCGGGTAGATCCCAATGGCATTATGCTAAGTGAAAAGTTTTTTTAAAAGTTCACTTTCTTTGTAGGGGGAGGAAGACTGGAGATGAGGAGCTCACACAAGACATGACAGAGGTGGGACAAAGTGGTGGCAGTGGAGGTAGTGAGGCCTGGAGGGAGGGGAGAATTTTGGGGGCTGCCAGTGGAACGGATAGAGGGGTAGAAGGAAAGGAGGAAAAGAGAGTCAAGAATAACGCCCAGGTCTTAGACCTCACCAACTGCAGGGATGGTGGCACCACCAATTACTGAAATGGTAGAGAATGGGGGAGGACCAGGCTTGTGTGGGTAGCACATTCTTCTTTTTCGTTCAGTGTGGAAAAGTTCACATAAAGAAAAATGCTTAAAATATACAGACACAATCTAATGAATTATTCCAATGCGTCTCGCATGCACGTAACCTCTACCCAGATCAAGAAGTAGAACCCTGCAAATCACTCACGCTGCCAAAGTTCTTCCTGATCACAAATAGCCTTCCCACAGAGGTAAGCGATATCTTATTTTTAGAGTATGGGCTCCTTGATTTTCTTTCTAGTTTATCCCCCCAGGTATGCATTGGCCATGTTTAGTTTGAGATGCCAGGAAGCATCCAAGTGGAGGTTTGAATTCAAAGAGCTCTAAAGTTCCTCCTAACACCTTCGGCAGGCTTTTGAATATGGTCAATTCTCCATATACTTTAAAGCCATTCTCTTCTTGAGGCTGTTGATGACAACGTGGATATTATAAATATTTGAAGAAGATGGTGAAAGCTTCAGGGCTTGCGGCAAAGATGTCCTTTTTGCTTTGCTATTTCCTTTCCTTCTTTTGACTCCTTGTGAAGCCTTCAAATATCAAGTCTATTTCCATATATATTTCCAGAAAAATCACTTGAACATAATTCAAGAGATCGGTGGGTGCTCAGAACATCTATTTCAGCAGAAGTTTACGTTCTTTTAGTTCTTAGGACCAGGAGAGGTGAAGAGCTGAGATGGAATGCTGTTTCTGCCCTGACTGCCCTGGGACAGGAGCCCTCCCTCCAGTTCTGACAGCGTTGATCTCATTGGAATGACGAGGCCCAGTTGCTTGCGGCCAAATGAAGGGTTCCATCTAGGTAAGGCATTTACACTGATATTGCCTCTAATAACCTTAGAGATAGGATTGTTGGGCTGGGAGGTGTCACAAAGGCCAAGCCCCCTGTTGTTAACTCAGAGAGCTCGATTGGGCCAAAGAGGCAAAGCAGGGCCTATCTGGCTGCAGAACAGGGTGGGGAGTCCTGGCTGCAGAACAGGGTGGGGAGTCGCCATGCAATTATGAGGCAACTCCTTTAGAACTTCCTTCAAACAGTGCCTTAGGCAAACCATACCTTGATGTGAGGCCCTCACCTAAAAGCTGCAGGTGATCCTTTTCCTCAAAGTGCTCTGACCCTCTCACCACCACAGCTGTTTAAGCCATCACCCCTCTGCCCCAGGTTCCTCCAGCACACAAATATCTTATGCACGTATTCCTATATGCCCACACATAGACGATGCCAGACAAACCCAAGATAGCACTGGTTTAAGTCCATTTTGTCCATTTTGTGAGATCTGAGAGATCTGGGGACAGTTTCCAAGGCCAAGGGGTTTGCTCCGCCCCCACTCCCACCCCCACCTTGATTGCAGAGGAACTTGCAACCCTCAAGGCAAATGGTGGGCCCAGGGGACTCCTCTGATTCAGGGAGTGCAGTGGGAATGGTGGGGATCCTTGGAGACAAATCTGTGTCTGTCCTTCTCTAGCTGCCTGAACTTGGCCAACTTTCTCAAGCACTTTGTGCCCACATTCTTCATTTGTCAAATAGGAATATTACCAGCACCTTTATAGGAGCTATTTCAGATAAAAAATTCAGCACTGGGCCAGGTGTGCAGTAAGCACTTTTCAACTCACGCTACTTAACATCTACTGTTTGATACTAGGTGCCAGACACTGCAAAACGTTCTGCAAGGCTCACCTCCTCTTGTCCTCATAACAGCACTAAGGGGGAGCTCCCATTATCAAGTCCATCCTACAGATGAGGACACTGAGGCTCAGAGAGTTAAGTAACTTGCCCTAAGTTACAAAGCTAATGAAGTGCTATACTGAGTGTCAAACTCGGGTTGGCATCACCATTGTGCTGTGCGGCCTCCAATACCACTGTTGAGTTCAATTCAGTTACTGACTTCTGCTAGCTGGTGTCAACAGCCAGCTCTGTGCCGGTCCAGGGTACTGCTCCTCCTGGGTGGTGAGAATCCAATGTGACCTGCAGCTGAGAAAGCCAACTGTGGGGCGCATTTCCAAGACTGCTGATGGAGTACGCATTCTAGCAGGGACATCTGTTTTTTGCATATCACTTAGTGAATTTTATTTGTTCAACCCAGAACAACTGATAATGGCCAGCTTCATAGACCCTGAAGATATTAAGGGGAAAATGCCCTGCTGTTTCTCCTAGGGACTTCCTGCATGAGGTTTTTCCCATCTTCTGGTTGACAGGGACACAACAGACATCTATGAGCATTTTCTCTGAGCCAGAAACTGTTCCAAGAATCCACAGGCACTGCCATTTACTCCTCACAGTATTCTCACATGAGAACCAGCTATTATTATCCTGGCAAGGTCAAGTCATTGTCCAAAATCGCACAACGGTAGCAGGAACAGAATTAATCTTGGCTCTCTAGGTCTTGATCACTATGCTGTACCATTGCCCAAGAAAGTGTGTTTTTCTGCATATATCGTCTTACATATCATCAGCAGCAATAGATGCCATTATTTTTTTTTTCTCTTTTTTCACCTACAGCATTATATCTGACTGCTGGGTCAAATTTGATATCAAAACACAACTTTTTTTTTTGGTGAGAAAGATTGGCCCTGAACTAACATCTGTGGCAATCTTCCTCTACTTTTTGTATGTGGTACACCACCACAGCAAGGCTTGATGAATGCTATGTAGGTCCGCGCCCCGGCTACGAACCTGAGAATTATAGGTCTGAATACTAGTCCATGTATACACACCTATCTGACAGTTATCATACTGACAACTCCAATCTGAACCCCAGGGCACCAAAGCAGAGTGTGTAAACTTAACTGCTATGCCACTGGGCCAGCCCAAAAGCACAACTTTTATGACTCCCAAATTCACCGGACTTCATTTTAAAATTAAGGTGCTCATTGATGAACTGTAATACAAGGTCTATTAACAATTTTAACAACATTTCCATTAAGAGGTAACAAAATTCATTCGAAATGTTTTTAGACGTTCAATATTTAAAGCAACAGTTACTACCTACGCTCTACATGTTTGTTTGTTTTTTGTAACTTGATGAAAGCCATGGATGGTTTCTCCACAAATGTGGATATTTACATGCAAAAACTCATACCTGCATCTTCAAGGGTTTCTCAGAGCCCCTGGGCCCATCTATGGACCCCAGTGATAAGAATTTGTTCTATGGATTTACAAATGGCGTACCCTTTGTGAAGCAAATGTTCTTCCTCTAACTTGCATTTTATAACTCTCTCTTTCTTCTCTCTCCTTCTCTCCCTCTATACACACAAATACCAGAGAATACTCTCTCATGAGCTGTCATCTATCACCTTTTTTTGTCATCAGAATAGTTTTCTTTTTTTCATATTCTGTGTTTCAAACAACTGTTACCATGACAAACCCTTCAATCTCATAAAACATAAATTAAACAAAAATTAAACATTTGACTAAACACATGTTTAGTCATACACACTTCACTGACAGCATGATATCTAATTGGTGGGTCAAAATTTGATGTGAAAGCACAACTCTTATGATTCCAAAATTCATTGGATTTGCATTTAAAACTAGGGTGCTAACTGGCAAACCATAATATGGTATAATTCTGGGAATATGCTGTTGTTATAATCTTTACCCAAGGTCACTTACAAAGTGATCGCGTGCTGCTTGCTTCATGTATATTTCTGCCAGTCCTCACAACAACCCTGTAATGTATCAGAAGGCCAATTCTACAGATGAGGAAACTGAAGACCAGAGAATTTAAGTATCTTGCCCAACATCACACAGTTAGGAAGTGGCCTATGATTTGTTTGGCTTAAAAGACCACTCTTTTTCAGCTACCACACTGCCTCAATTTGGACTCAGATCCATGTTTATAGAATATCCACCTCCCCACACACTCTCACAAACAGAAATGTTCACTCTATGCTTGAACAGGGCTGCCTTTACTGAAACTCTTCATGTCCCTAAAACTTGACGCTGACACAGGGGATGCTCAAGCAGAACCAGCAGAGAATAATTTAGTTTATGTCAGAGTATGTACGAATTCGGCAATCTACCTGTAGAACTTTTATTTTTTAAACCAAAGCATGCAATTAGCATCAGATTCTAAATTGAAAGTGTAGAGCCTAGATTCTACATGTCTAAACATTATTTTGTCCATAAGAACTATTCCAAAATGGATAAACACGTCCCAGATTTTCTACCATTGGCCCGCCTTTGCTCTAATAAGTAACATAAACCTGTCCGGGGAAAAAAACGCCGGAGTTCTGAACAACCACCTGCCGACACTGACAGAGAAGCCAAGCAAGACCTGGCCTTTCACATCAAGAGATAATTAAACAACTGGATGCTTTCAGTGTGTGTCGAGTCACCTCTCCCTTTGATCTGTACTTCAGCGAAGGCGCATCTCGGATCTTAGGGGTCATGGGAGAAGAGGGGGAGGGCAGGAGAGAAATGTCAGTCCACCTTGAAGTACGAAGTGTTTGCTTTTCCCCAGACATCTCGTCTCACTTCCTTTCTAGTGAAAACCGACCCTCCCTATTCCTTAATGAAACTGCCCTGGCATTCTTCAGCTGGCCTTCCCCCAAAAGTTTAAGAAGCTCAAAATAAAGTCAACGCTTTCTGAAAGATCCATGAAGTCTGTGTGTTCTGAAGCACGCTGTGGGTTTTTTGGAGGCTTCCCTGATTTTTTTTTAATTTAGTAAAATTTCAGTCTTTTGTTGCCAGCATCTAAATGCAACAGCTCTGTACTACTGAAAATACTCATCATAATATTAATTAAAAATTACAGTATTTTGTTTAACCCCTCAGCTACAGCTCCTCTCTTGTCCCTTACTCCATGAATGTTACCACAAATTGAAGATCCTACAGATACACAGGATACAAAAGGAGGCTGACTTGGGAGGATGACGGGAAATTCTAATGGAGATGATTTCCAATGACTTTTTCTAGTCTTAAAGTTTCCTTCTTATCTCTTCTTTTGTTTCCCTCCTATGACTTCATACCTTTGGCAATGTAGAAAAATTTGAAATTCTCTCTTCGTCCATCTGTGAGCCACCCCCAAAGGTAATGAGGCCTCATTAATTTCAAAATGATTGAGGAGGCGGGGGGGGGGGGGGGGGGGGGGGGGGGGCGGCGGTGGATAAGCCAATGGAGAACCAGAGCTGCTATCCCAGGAATCCTTAACCACTATTGCAAGAATTCTTACCCCACCCTTCCTAACGTGGTTAAGTCAAAAGTATTGTTATCCTAATTTTATAAATCGGAATTCCTAGAAATGAGCAGAGATGTCCCTAGTGCCCTTCTGGAAGCAGTGGCCTGTAGACAAAAACATGGGCTCTCTAGAACTCGAGGCTTCTATTTCTTACCTTTCACAACTGTGAAATAAAATATTTGCCATTATGACTTGAAGGTGACTGATTAGCTAACCCTTGTAGATCTAGCTAAGACACGGAGATATTGCTCTTTGATCCATAGATATAGTTTTTTGGGAACCTGTTGGTATGTTTGATCTGTTCTCCCGCCCTGCCAACGGTGCAATGCCTTTGCTCAAAGAGGTGAGGCATTTCTTTTTTCAAGAGGAGAAAGGACTGTTTGAATCCCAGCTTCAACACTTCCTGGGTGGTGGGGCCGCAGCAGTTCCTGGATCTCTCTGGACTTCAGTTGCCACCAATAAATGCAAGCGATGTCACTCGTGTGCAGGAAGGCTGTGGTGGGAGGTGAAGGAGCTGACGACGTACCCGGCTGCCTTGTCTCCACGCTGTTCCCTGTTCGAGAGAAGCAGCAGGATTCGGCTGAAGGAAATTCCCTCCCATAAGGCCTCTCTCTGCCCCTCATTTATGCAGAAGCTGGAAGAAGTTTGCCTAAAGGAGCAATTTGGTCTTGCCCTGACAGAATGTAATCCTGTTATATCTTTGAACATTAACCACGTGGTTTTTTTTTTAATTGAGAAAAATATTCATTTTCTCTCCACAGTTTCCGTTTATCTCCCAGACTTTACCACTGCCCCTGTCTTCACTCAAATCCTCTGCCACCTGGTGGCTTTGACAACTGAACACTCCTGAATTGTACTGCTATATTATAAGCTTTGCCCTAGCACCTCTTGTTTTCCACACTCAGCCACCAGGAGAATTTGGTGGTTTTTAAGCTACCTTGTGCCTCACACTGTGCAGACCACAGAAGTGGGGCTCGGCGCTGGCCAAGGAAGTAAAGGCCCGAATTCATCATCCTTTTAAGGCATCTGGATATCAAAGGGTTTCTACTGGCATACCAAGAAGTTGTATGACACTAAGCTAAGAGAGTTTCCCTCATTTAAAAAGTAATTCTCAGAGATTCCCAGTGCTCCCCTCACACTTTTGACAGAAGCTTATTTTCTTCTTATTTAAGAAGGATCTCAAAACTATGCATAGGAAAAAAAGTCTGAAATGAAATCACCAAATGTTAACAAGAATTGTATTAGATTGATGGAACTATGTGTTATTTCTTTTCTTTCAACATTTGAGTATTTTCTAAGTTTTCTATAAAATACATGTATTAGTTTGTAATACTTTATTTTATAAACTTTTTTAAAAGAAACTATTTACTAATGATCTGAATCAATGTTAAGTATTTAAAATACTCAAGCCTCCATCCTGTCCAGTACTTTCTTCGATAATCTTTCTCATTTTATATTTCCATGAGGAGTATCCTAATATCAGGTATAGATTCAAATATCCACCATGAGAAGTCCTTTTTTGTTGAATATTGAGTGTCTATACTATTTGTAAGACATATTGAGTTATATAAGGACCAAAACAGAACTGGGGCAGAATTTTGAGTGACAGCTGGGAGACGCTACAGAGAGGCACGTATTTTCGGGATGCAGTTTGGAAACTCCGATGTCCCTATTTCTCTTCCTGTGTTTGTTCCTGGATTTGAAACTGCTCAGCTTATATTCAGTAGCACAGAAACATCTGCTCAAAGTAACGCTTTGAAAAGATCTCCGCATTAGTGTCATTCACATAGAAAACTGAGCAGTCACAACGTTGCAGAAACATGGCAAGGAAAAGAACAAATAAAGCCGAGAGAGTTAAGAGCAGCATTGCCAGTTTGGCTGTGGCCTATTCTACCTGATATCTTGCCTGGTCTCCTTTTCCATCACTGCAAGTTGTCAAGGTGTTTGTGGATAAACAGAACCACTTCTCTTGGTGATCTATCTTCCCCCGCTGCTTGGTTTGTGCACGGATCACTGCCCGTCGTTGGTGAAACGGCGAGAAACCTCGAGAGGAATTAAAAAAATCAAACGTCATTTAATTGATATACAATGCAAGGTATTGTCTCTGTATGTCTGTATGACTCCCGTTAGACCCTGGATGAGATGACGAGGGCCCACTGCCAACCAGAAAGATCCTGGCTTCTTAGAACTTTTAAACCTCTGACATCTAAGGCTCTTTTTGGTCTGGTCCCAACCCAACCTCCCACCTTTCCAGTCTCATCTACCACTTTCATCTATCCCCACAAAATGATTCTTTCTCCTTACCAGCTATCATCTTTTCTTTGCCTGAACTTCTGTGCTGTTCATTCTGTCCAAAACGCTCATCCTTCCATCTTTAGAGGCCATCCAGCTCAAATGTCACTTCCTCTAGAAGCCTTCTCTGATTGCCCCAGATTTTCACTGCATTGTCTCTTTATGTGCCTGACTTCTGTCCCAAATAAGCTTAGACTATATTAGAGAGCTCTTGGTATAGGAGATGCAAAATGATTTTCTGCTGTAGGAATGTTAAATAAAAGCTTATTGAATTTATTTACATATAGACTTACTAGCACAAGAAAAAATTTTCTTTTAATCTTTAGTGCTCTGCATTTGATAGTACCTTCTCCTTATACCTGTTGTTCCTTCTCAGTATCTGCTCTGGCAGATAGGACTTCCCACCCATCCCAGCATCCAGGGCACAAGTTGGAGCTTTTTCTTCCATCTATGGGCTAGGGATATAATTTCTCCTCCTCATTTGACATCTGGCTTCCAGGGTTGATTTGTCATAATGTCATGAGCCTAGCAGACCAATTGGTTGAAAATCAATTTACCAAATGACCAAATTGCTGGATCAACTCTAGCTTTATAATAAGTCTGAGAGGCAGAATTGTGGGAAAGGAGTTACTTAGGCTGGATCTCAAAGAATGGGCAGAATTTGAATGAGGCGTGAAAGAGGAGAGGCAGAAAGGGACATTTGAGAGGAAGCAAGCAGCATGAGCAAAAAAATTCTAACTAAAAACAAAAGAGAAAAAACAGTTTCAAAATAGATGATTGTCAAATACAGGATGATTTCCCGTGGTTATATATGCACTTATTACTGCAATTAAATAAATCATCAAAACCTTTTGTCTCCATTAGAGTCAGATTTCATTTGAATAACAGCCTTGTTTTCTTCCATTTCTTGGTAACATAGCTTCTGCTAAAGGATGGAGAGCTAGCCCTGAAGAATAAATTTGCCTCCCTAAAGGACTCAACTTACGTCAATGGAAACTGGCTTTAGTTTAATGGAAGTTGGCTCATGCTGTCACACAGCTGGGAGTGGGCAGGTGAACTTCAGTATATTTGCTCAGTGTTTTTGATAACCTCAAAAAAGGAAAAATAGATGACAGTAAATCCAGTGGACCTGACTGCCTTCCACACCGTGTTCCTCCAGCTGTGATCTGAGAACCTCCTGCACTGGGATGTGGCCGTGCTGATGGTGGAGGGAGGGGTAGTGTGTATCACATAATACGGGGTCCAGGACCACACCAAGACCCATATCAGACTTGGGGTGGGGCCCAGAAACCTGAATTTTAAAATCTGGTGATTTTTGCATTCATTCAAGTTTGAGAACAAATGCAAATAAATAAATACACCAAAAATGAAATGAGGATCTTGAAAACGTTTTCATTTTTTATAGTACTTGGGACTAGCCCTTCTACTCAATATGTGTATCTTGGTATTTCTTCTTTCAGGCAGAAGAATTACTTTAAATGTCTGATATGTAAGCACAGGATAAACACCTAAACATCACAATTAAAAGTCAGAGATTATCAGGTTGAATAAAAAGCAACTATATGTTGCCTACAAAAAACCCACTTTAAATATAAAGATACAATAAATTAAAAGTAAAGAAAAATACATACTAAGCTAACACTAAAAAGAAAAAGTTGGTATGGTTATATTAATATCAGACAAAGAAAATTTCAGACTCCAGAGATAAAGAAAGTCATTTCTTTTTTTTTAAAGATCAGCACCTGAGCTAACATCTGTTGCCAATCTTCTTTTTTCTTCTTCTTCTCCCCAAAGCCCCCCAGTAAGTAGTTGTATATTTTAGTTGTATATCCTTCTGGTTGTACTATGTGGGACGCCACCTCAGCATGGTCTGACAAATGGTGCCATGTCCACGCCCAGGATCCAAACCTGTGAAACATTGGGGTGCCAAAGAAGACCATGTGAACTTAACCACTCGGCCACGGGGCTGGCCCCAAGAGAGTCATTTCATAATGATGAAAGGGTCAATTCACCAAGAAGACAGAACAATCCTAAATGTTTATGTATCTAATATCAGAGCTTCAAAACTTAAGCAAAAACTGAGAGAACTACAAGGACAAATGCACAAATCTACTGTTAAAGTTAGAGATTTCAATGTCCCTCTATGTATGAGTATGTTTTTTGATGCAAGTAGACTAAAAATCAGTAAGGATAGAGAAGATTTGTTCAATATGATCCACCAACTTGACCGAAGTGACATTTATAGAATATTCCATCCAACAATAGAAAAATACACATTCTTTTCAAATTCATATAGAATATTCACCAAAGTTGACTATGTTCTGATTCATAAAACAAGTTTCAATAAATTTAAAAGGATTCAAATCATACAAAGCATGTTCTCTGACCACAATGGAATTAAATTAGAAATCAAATCAAATATCCCTGGAAAATCTCTAAAACTAAATAACACACTTCTAAATAACTCAAGAAGAAATCATGGGGCCAGCCTGGTGGCGCAGCAGTTAAGTGCGCACGTTCTGCTTTGGCGGCCCGGGGTTCATGGGTTTGAATCCCAGGTGCGGACATGGCACTGCTTGGCAAGCCATGCTGTGGCAGGTGTCCCACGTATAAAGTAGAGGAAGATGGGCACAGATGTTAGCTCAGGGCCAGTCTTCCTCAAAAAAAAAAAGAAGAAGAAGAAATCAAAAGGGAAATTAAAAAGTATTTTGAACTGAATGAAAATGAAAAAGTAACATCAAAATCTGTGTGATGCAGACAAAGAGAAATTTATAACATCAAATACCTGTATTAGAAATGAAGAAATGTCTTAAGTTAGGGCTGCCAGATTTAGCAAACGAACATACCGGATACTCAGCTGAATTTGAACTTCAGACAAAGAATAAATTTTTTTTAGTATAAGTATGTTTCATGCAATATTTGGGATATATTTATTTTTTATACTAAAAAATTATTTGTTGTTTATATGAAATTAAAATTTTTTTTCCTGCTTTTTTTTTTTTTTCTCCCCAAAGCCCCCCGGTACATAGTTGTGTATTTTAGTTGTGGGTCCTTCTAGTCGTGGCATGAAATTAAAATTTAATTGAGTATTCTGTATTCCATTGAAAACCTATCTAAATCAATGATTTTAGTTTCTACCTTAAGAAACTAGACAAAGAAGATCAAATTAAAGTCAAAGCAATCAGAAGAAAGGGAAAAAAATAAAGTTTAAAGCAAAAATCAATGAAATATAAAACAGAAAAACAATAGAGAAAATTGATGAAACTAAAAATGGTTCTTGATCAATAAAACTGATAAATCTCCAGCCAGATTCATAAGAAAAAAAGAGAAGATAAAAATTACAAACATCAGGAATGAGAAATGGAACACCGCTACAGATCCTAGAAATATTACAAGGATAATAAGAAAATATTATGGGCAACTTTATGTCAGTAAATTTGACAACTTAGATGAAATAACAAATTCCTTGAAAGATATGAACTACTAAAACCCACTTAAGAAGAAATAGATAATCTGAATAGCTTTATATTTATTAAAGAGATTGAATTTTTAATTAAAAACTTTTCCACAAAGAAAACTCCAGGCCCAGATGGCTTCACTGGTGAATTCTACCAAACATTTAAGGCGGAAATAATATCAATTCTACAGAAACTCTTCCAGAAAACTGAAGAGAAGGAATATCTCCTAATTTATTCCATAAGGTAATATTATTCTTATATCAAAACCAGATAAAGACCTTACAAGAAAAGAAAACATGCTAATATCCCTCATCAACATAGACACAAAAATTCTTACCAAAATTTTTAAAACTCAAATCTAAAAATATGTTAAAAAATAATAACAATAATACTTCAGGCCTAATGGGTTTTATACTGGGACTGCAAAGTTTAACGTCTGAAAATTAGTTAGTGTAACTCACCAGATCAGCAGACTACAGAAGAAAAATCATATGATCATTTCAATAGATGCAGAAAAAGCATATGATAAAATTAACCATGTATTCATGACAAAAACTCTCATTGAACTATAATTATAGGGTAATTTCCTCACCTTTATAAAGAGAACGTACAGAAAACTTATAGCTAGCATCCTCCTCAACGGTGCAAGACTGCATGCCTTCTCCGTAAGACTGGAAACAAGGTGAGGATGTACACTCTCTCCTCTCCTGTTTGGTATGTTACTGGAGGTCCTATCTAGTGCAATAAGGCAAGAAAAAGAAGCAAAATTCATGCATATTGGAAAAGAAGAAATAGAACTGTCACTCTTTGCAGACAACATAATTACCTATGCAGAAAATCCCAAAGAATATACAAAAGAGTCCCTAAAACTAAGAAGTAAATTTACCAAGTTTACAGTATATGAGGCCAACATATAAAAGTCAATCATATTTTTATAGATTAGCAATGAACAATTCAAAACTGAAATTTTAAAAGTACCATTTACCCTAGCATGGAAAAACACCAAATGGGGCTGTCCCTGTGGCCAAGTGGTTACGTTCGTGTGCTCCGCTTTGGCAGCCCGGGGTTTTGCTGGTTCGGATCCTGGGAGCAGACCTAGCACTGCTCATCAAGCCACGCTGAGGCAGTGTCCCACACAGCAGAACTAGAAGGACCGACAACTAGAATATACAACTATGTACTAGGGGGCTTTGGGGAGAAGAAGAAAAAGAAAAAAAAAAAGGAAGATGATTGGCAACAGATGTTAGCTCAGGGCCAATCTTTTTTTAAAAAAAGAAAGAAAAGGAAACTACTCCCACACCACAATCTCAAGCTTAAAAAAAAAACATCAAATGCTTAGGTATAAATTTTACAAAATATTGGCAATGTCTGTACACCGAAAACTATAAAACACTACTGAAAGAAATCAAAGAAGACCTAAATAAATGGAGATAAATACTGTATTCATAGACTGGAAGTCTCAATATTGTTAAGATGCCAATTCTCTTTGATCTATAGTTTTATCTCAGTTTCAATCAAAATTCAAGCAAAGGTTTTTATAAAAATCAATAAGCTGATTCTAAATTTATATGGAAGGGCAAAGGAACCAAAATAACCAAAATAATTTTTAAAAACAACAAAGTTGGAGGATTCACACTACTAGATTTCCAGACTCATTGTAAAGCTACAGTAATCAAGATACACCAATGGAACCAAAGTGAATACAGAAGTGGATGCACACATATATAGTCCACTGATTTTCTACAAAGGTGCAAAGGCAATTCAATGGAAAAAGACTTTTAACAAATGAGACTGAAATAATCGGACATCCCAATAAAAAAAAAAGTCAATCTATACCTTGCACCCTATGCAAAAATTAACTCAGAATGGATCATAGACCTGAAAGCAAAATTTAAACTATAAAACTTCCAGAAAAAAATAGAGGAGGAAACCTTTGTGACTTTGGGATAGGTAAAGAGTTTTTAGATATGACACTGAAAGCACTACGCACACGGTGGAATTGTTTTGTTTCTTGATTGTGGTGCTGGTTACACCTCTACATGTGTTTGTCAAAACTCACAGAACTGTAACTAAAAATGGTGAATTGAATGTAAGTTGTAACGCAATAAAAAAGTTAAATGTAAAAAAAAAAATGTCTGACATGTAAATACCAGAGCTGTGTAAACACGAAGTTTATTAGGAAATTATTATCCCGTAGGTGACAAATGGAGTGGCCTTGGCTGGATCTGGAGGCAGAGACAACTAGGAAGAGGCTGCAAATGGTGAAACACAACAAATTGGGAAGGGCTTGACACAGCCAAAGTAGGAGCTGAGGGAGAGACAACCAAACACACACCAGTGTGAGAATCAGAGAGGAGAGAGGCATAGACTTGAGAGAGGAGACAGTGGGGCTGCCACACTGGGGCAACAGCACTGCAGGAGGGTGGTGACACAAGCTTGGTTGGTGGTAACTGTTGATGGAGGGGCACCCAGGGCAAACATGGGTAGAGATCAGTCAACAGATCACTGTGTACTGAGCCCAGCATGTCACCCTTATGCTGGGATGTGATGGAAAGAACACGGAACCAGGAATCGGGACATCTGGGTTCCAGCTGTGTGACCTGTGAAGCCAGACGAGCCCCAGATGTCACATCTGTCGTGAGGATTTGGAATGATGAATCTCAAGTCTCATCTATGTCTAACAATCTCTTGGTTACGTAATTTACAACCTAAAATGAGTCCCATTGGAACATACGTTTACAAAGTCTTTACAATTTATAAAGCACTCTTAGCACCAAACTCATTCACCCCTCAAGGTCACAGGGAGTGTATGTGGTTATTCCTCTTTTACACATGAGGAAACTGCTCTCAGAGAGGTGAAACAGTTGCTTAAAGTCACTCAAGTCCAATGGCCTTTTGGCCTTGCCATCCCACGCAAGGGACAGAGCGGCCATGACTGGTTGGGGAGATGGCGTTGGGCTGAGGGCCAGTCAGAAAAGCTCATTCCTGGAGTGAGCTACAGTGAGGAGGGTGCTGCAAGTGTGTAAACAACTCTTCATCTACATTCTAGCCTTTGCTTATGGAAGCACTACTTCCAGGTCACAGGTTTGTAAATACTTGTGATAGTAGGTGTGGCAGGCTAAATAATGGCCCTTCAAAGTTACTGGTGTCCTAACCCCCAGAACCTGGGAATACGCTACTTTAGGCTGTAAAGGAGATTTTGCACACGTGATTAAGTTAAGGATCTCAAGGTGAGAGATTGTCCTGGATTAGCTGGGTGGGCCCAATGTAATCACAAGGGTCTTTGTAAGAGGCAAGAGGGTCAGAGTCAGAGAAGGAGATGTGACAACAGAAGTGGAGGTTGAAGTGATGTGCATTGAAGATGGAAGGAAGGGACCACAAGCCTAGGAATGCAGGCAGCCTCTAGAAGCTGGAAAAGGCAAGGAAATGGATTCTATCTTTTCTTTTTTTTAATCATTTCCGCACATTTAAAATAGGCAAAATGTGAACACACACGCACAAATAGAAATCTCTGTGCATATCTCAATCAATATAGTCCGTCTGTCCCATAACAAAACGATCATAATTTTGCTGTGTTTAGCAGATACTGTTTAACACAAAAAAATGGTTACACTTTCCCTCCAGAACGCCCCATAAATTGGGAACAAAGAAACTTACAATCCTTTTTTACCCAGAACTGTGTTCAAACGAAAAATGCTGGGGGTAACTTTTATTAACGTGAACTCATTTCACGGTTGAGTTGAGAAAAATACAGGGTTTAAAATTCTCTTGGAGGTTTTGATTATTATATCCATTCTGCTCCAATTTCAAATTTGCCACCCTTATCTCCATAAATACACTTAGACTTCTCAGGTGCAGAATTTTGATTCAGAAAAACCACTCTTGGTTCTCTGAAAACAAGTATTGAAATATCTTAGGAGTTTGCAAAAAGGGAGTAAAGCTTCCTTTTTTATTTTGACAATTTGTTTAACATTTGTTTTAACCCAGCTCTGGCTTTGAGCATGATCTACTGCTCCATTGCCCTAAGCGTGAGGTTAGGGATCATTCCAGAATGTGTTAACAGACAGTGACATCATCTGGAAGCAAGAAATGGCTCTCAGGTTACCATATAAATTGACTTAAGCTTTGGAGAGGATTACAGGGCAGACCTGGGCTAAGTGTGGAGATGCCATTACAGCTAAATCAAAGGTAACTGTGAGGTCTGGCAGGCACCTGTCAACAGGTAAGGGAAGGAGGAGCCCAAGAAGGAGTCTTGAGTCAGGATTACATTCTCCAAGCTTTATTTTTATTTCAGGTTAAAGGGTCAGACCAAAAAGCCATTCGCAGTGGTCTTTATTTATGGTTCTCAGAGGACCCGCTGGTGAAGCGTCCTGAAGAAGAAGGATGGCTCAGGTGGGATCTCAGTTTCCCCACCTGGCTGATGACAGACTGAGGGCCTCCCGCTCTGTGAAAGCCCAGGTTTTCACGAATGTGCATTAATGTTTGCAGGCACAACACGAGTGCTCATCCTCTGTTATCTCCCGTGCACTGAGAGCTGTGTGCTTTCCCTCCCTGCTCACTGCTCAGCCACCTGGAAAGACCTGTTTCCACCACCTGTCGTTGGCCTTTGAAGGACAGGTAAGGAGATAGAAGCATCCCCGGCTGGCAAGCTTGGCTAGGGGAGATTTCCACACACTCCTCAAATGCTCAAAAATCAGGACAAATGTTTGATTCCATCCTTCTCTTGGTGCAAGAATAAGTCTCCATTCTCTGGAGAGGTTATCTTCCCCAACCAAGTGCGGAGCTTAGGGGAAATGGCCAGAGAGGAGCAGAGGAACGAGACCCCTGCCTCGTGCCCCACCCTGTTCTTCTGGGCCACCTCTATGTTCTTCTTGTCCTTTCCCATTCAGCGTGGATCCCTCACCCTCCCCAATCTGATCTCACGGTCTGCTGTTTCACTTGCAGCTGACACTGTGGGGTGGCAGACGGAGAATGGCTAACACGGAGAGGCATGGAGGGTGGGGGTGATGTCTTCTTTGCTAGCTGAAAGCTGCAGGACTTGAGACGAGCTCCTCATCCTCTGGGAGCTGGATTCCTCCCCTTGAAGCGGGATTGATCATGCCTGCCTCCAATGCAGTGTGGTTAAAAAAATACCTTCTCTCCAACTCATTGCCTGGCTGTCTCATTCTCATCCTTCAGAGAGGCCTGCCCTTGCCCACTCTATCCAGAGTAGCCCTCACCTCACCTCCCTCCTCACCCCTCCCCCAGCCAAAGCGAAGGGACCTTGTCTGTCTTGTTCCAGGAACCCGGCCCACAGAAACAGCTGGATGAATATATATTGAATGATGCCGGCTTAGCCAGCCTGATGGGCTGCATCATCCCAGACAGTCAGAGGGGGTCAGATCACAGGCATGTAACCCTCCCATCCAACATATTTTACTACAAAAAGAGAAGTTGCCTTAATATTCAATTAATGGCACTAAACGGGTAGAGTGGAGAAGGGGTGATCTGCTCTTACTGGAAGAGACCAAGTTCGGCAAAAATATGAGGAACTGAGTCCCAAGCATTCTCCTACTTTTCTCAAGAGACTGAGAGCTCCCTGGGGGCAGGTGATGGCTTGTTCACCTCTGTATTCCTGCATCTGGCAGAGTTCCTGCATCCAGGTGGTGGTAAGCAAAATGATAGGCAAATCATTTTCACATAAATGAACCAAATGACTTTTTAAATGTCTTTGTA